GTCCGCTCGGGTCGAGCGTTCAGGTAAGACTGAGTAGATAGGGACAGCGAGAGTTTAGTTGAGTATTATGAGCCCATGTTGGATGGGACTGACTCTGCCGAGACTAAGTCAGGAAACTTTTGTCGGTCGATGTTTAGGCGTTAAACCATTGCCAGGGGTCACGCATGTAGATGTTGTTATGCGGCGGAGCTTGGAAAAACCCCCTCATCACCTTTTTAGGATCATTTGAGAGGTAGACCGTCCCGTTTGGGAGGCGACCCACTTAGCCGGCTTGCCTGGGTTTCCAAGAATCCCAGGCAAGCCGTGGACAGCGGGGGCCACGTGGAGGCGGGGTCGCTAGTTTAAATAACTCGGTCTTGCTCGTGGTGCTTACCAGTTCTGATCTACGGACGGTTGCGGTGTGGTGGTGTCTGGGAGTTTTCTAAACCTTCTCTTGATTTCATAGTTATGGTAAAGAATTTTTCTGTGTGACTATATGTTTCTGAAAGTAAAAGTTCCGGGAGAGCGCAGGGCCATTCTATGTTGTGTGCTCTGAGTTCTTGTTGTAGTAGTGTTCTGGCGTTATTGAAATCAGGGCAGTCGTATATTACGTGTTTGACGGAGTCCTGTAAGCCGCAGTGGCATATGTCGTTTTCTGCTATCGCTAATCTGTGCAGTGTGTTCTTAAGTTTACCATGTCCCGAAAGGAGTTGCATAGTGTAAAAGTTCGGTTTTATCCAAGTAGCTCTGATTCGTGTTTCTATATCGGGTAGGAATTCGTATGTGATTCTGCCTTTCGGTGTGCTGTCCCATCTTTCTTGCCAGAGTCTATTTGTTTCTGTGTTCAGTGTTTCCCTGTACCGTGTGATGTCTTGCTTGCTGAGGGTTCTGTTGATGGGTGTGAGCCTAAGTTGTCCATGTGAGGAATGTAGATTGTGCTTGTAGTCATAGATGGCCTTGCGCTCCTTTATTATGAGGTCGATGGGTGGAGTTGCGGCGAGGACGAGAAGCGCATCGGTGGATATTGTCCTATATGCCCTTGTGACGGTAAGGAGTGCTTGTCTTTGAGCCTGTGAGAGCCTCTTGATATGCCACCTGTTGATTCTGTCTCCCCAACCTGCAGCTGCGTATGCCATAATAGGTATAAAGACGCCTGTGTAGATAGATTTCATGTTTTTGTAATTTATGCCCCATTTTGCTTTTGCTGCTTGTGAGAGTTTGTGGAATGTTGTCTTTGTTTTTGTTGTTATCGCTTCTACGTGTTGGGTGATATTGAAGCGAGTCCCGAACTGGATACCGAGGTATGTGACGTTGCTTGACATTCTTATGGATCTGTTTCCGATTTTTACTGTAGGTGGTCTTCTGATGTCAAGGAGTCCTTTGACGAGTAACATTTCTGTTTTGGATTGTGACAGCTGGAGTTTGAGCTTACTACATTCTTGATTTATCAGAGAGGCTGCGTTGTTAGCTTTGTTTTCTAGCTCAATTCTAGAATTTCCTGTGATAACTACCGCGAGGTCATCTGCATATGCTATGGCTTCAAAGTTTCTTTGTTGTAGTTTATTCAGGATTTCGTCGAATACCAGGTTCCAGAAGTAGGGGCCGAGGATAGAACCTTGGGGACACCCCTTGGTAACTATCTTTTCTATTGTCAGGTGGTTGCTTGTTATTTTGACTTTTCTGTTAGAGAGGTAGCTGTGTACTAGTCTGTAGATGTTTTTTGGGCAGTTGCGTTGTTTTAGGCTTCGGAGTATGCTGGGCCACCAGACATTATCAAAAGCTCCGCTGATGTCGAAAAATAGTGTGATGGCGTATTTGTCCCGAGTGTTATGTGAGAGTTCGCGTAGAAGTGTGATTGCATCTTCGGTAGATTTCCCAGGCTTGAATCCGTATTGTCTGTCTGAAGTGTTTTCATGATGGTGGAATATATGTGTCAGTCTTTTTGCAATTAGTTTTTCCAGGACTTTGCTAAGAACTGGTAAGAGGCATATCGGTCGGTATGAACGTGGGTCAGTCTTGTCTTTTCCTACTCTCTTTAAAAGGACCCTAATTTCACCCTGTTTCCAAGGTGCAGGGAAAGTGCCTTGTCTGAGACATAGGTTTAATGTGTCTGTGATGTCATTTCTGAGGAGTGGCCAAGTTTTCTTTATAATCTCTGTTTCTATGTAGTCGTGTCCTGGTGCTTTCCTGTTTTTGAGAGTTTTGATCGTGGAGTCTACTTCGTCAGAACTGAATTCTATGTCATCTTCTGTATTGGGTGTAGTGTTAGTGTAGTCTCGTACGTCTGTATGCCATTGTGTTTCGTTGTCTGCGTTGTCGTCGGGGATTAGAGTATCTAAAAGTAGTTGTGCGGTCTCAGTCCATGTGAGAGTTTGTTGGTTTTGTCTGATTTTAATGCTTTCCAAGGCTAAGTCTGCGTGAATTTTTCCGGTCAGTGTTTGGTATACGATTCCCCAAGGGTTGGTGTTACCTTCCCTTGTTATGAATTCGTTCCAGCTATTGTATTTGGACTTTCTGATGTTTGTGTTGTAGAGATTGCGGAGTCTTCTATATGTGGCTCTGTACGTGTGGACGTTGGGTGTGCCTCTCGCGTTGTCTAATGCTCTTTTCGCTCTGCGGACCTGTTTTCTTAGGTTTGAAAGTTCTGTGCTCCACCAGGGCACGGATCGTTGGAAGCGGGTTTTTCTGGGTATGGCGGTTCTACTGGCGGTTTCTATAGTGTTTTGTAGTATGGCTGTCTGTTCTTCTGCGTCTCTATTGTTGGTAGTGTGTATGCTGTTTCTAATTGTGTTTTCAAACTTTCTCCAGTCTGCTTTCTTTATGTTGTATCTGTTTTCTTTGAAGTGGGTTGCGTCTCGTTGTGGTAGTCCGTAGTTGAATGTTATCGTGTTATGATCGCTGGTAGTTAGGTCTGGGTGTACTGTCCAGTTGGTGATGCGTTCGAAGCATGTGCTGTTTGTAAGTGTGACGTCTATGTTTGAGGTACCGTGAGTGTTGTCGAAGGTCGGTGTTTCGGATTCGGTGTTTATAATGATTAGTCCGTGGTGAGCTATGAAATTTTCAAGTTTTTCACCTCTATTATCCAGATAGGTACTAAACCATAGAGGTGATTTGGCGTTGGAGTCTGCGCAGATTATAATGTTGTGTCCTCTGAGTTTATGTAGTATCAAGTCCAGGTGTTGTAGGTAAGGGTCAATGTTGTCGCAGTGCTGGAAGTATATGCTGACTAGGTAGAGTTTATGGCCGGATTTGTTCATTTCCACACAAACGCAGTGGGTGTTCGAGAATTGTTCGAGTTTGAGGGTGGTGATGGTTGGGTTCGGGATGACTATTGCGGATTTTATTTGCCCTGGTGTGGCAACTCTGGAGAAAATTTTAGTGTCTTTGTAAACTGTGTATGAATTGTAATTTGGTATAAAGTTCCAGTAGCAATAGGGTTCTTGGATCATTATTGCATCTAGTTTCTTCCCTTGAATAATGATTTTTAATTCGTCCATAACAGATCTTGAGTTTTGAGCATTGACTTGAGCGAATCTGAGGTTGTGTTGTGCGGCTGTATATTGAGTCGTGTTGGTGTTATTATCCATAATTTATTTTCGCGATGTGGGTTTCGATGGCGTGTTTGTATGCTGGGCATGTCTGGGTCCTGTTTGAGTGGTCGTGTGGGCGATTTGCCCTTTTACAGTTTATGCAGGACGGGTTACTCTCTTTCTTTGGGCAATTCTTGTACGAATGTCCGTCCTGGGCGCAGTGTCCGCAGGTGGAGACAGTGGCTTTGCAATGGAGTGCTATATGGCCAAAGTTTTGGCATTTATAGCACCGGCTTATTGCGATGTAGTCCCGGATGTAACAAGCACTCCAGTCGATGAATATTTTATTCCTCTCTTTAAGGATGTTTCTGATTGTAGGACTGACCTCTATGACCCAGTTGACAGTTTCCTTGTTTCTATCTCCGGTTTTAAATAGGAGCTTAAATTCATCGATGTAGCTGTTTTTGCTGATATGTTCCAGGTTTTGATGCTTAATAGCCGTTGTGATTTCTTTTTCTGATAGGTGCTTGGGCACGTCGTAAATTATCATTTTAGGCCGTTTTTTAGTTGGGAGTCCTGCGGTTAGTCCGATGGCGCTGAGTTTATTGTTATGAAGAACTCTGTCCAGGTCATCTTTGGTCTCTGTTTCGATGAGTACTCCGTTGTTGCTGATTTTCCGGATGCTCCTGATTTTTAGTTTTTCCTTAGCTGGGAGTAAGTTTGCCATGAGTTTCATTTTTGTTTCCTCGCTGTTCTCTGCTTTATTATTTTCTGCTGGGTAAATGGTGATGACATTTCTTGGTGGTCTGATCGCTTTCGGTGGTACAATCTTAGATGTGATTTGCACCTTTTGGGCATATGTTGGCTGCGTTGTGGTGGAGTTATTTCTGAGTTCGTTCAGTTTCTCAAGTGCGCCTTTTATAGCGACATCGATTTGACCTATTTTTTCCGTGACATTATCTTTCTCGTCAAGTTTCTTTCGAAGTTCTTTGTTTTCTTCCTCCTTCTGGGTGAGAATTTTGTCTATTTCCGTGATTTTACATATTATTGTTTTTATGTCGTCTTGTGTCAGTTCATTGCCAATATTCTTGAGAAAGTTTATTAGTTTTTTGGTAGGTGAAGTCCTGCTGTCTTGTATTTCGTTGCGTTTGTTCGTATTGTCGTCGGTGAGTCTCGTGGTTTTCTGTGTTGGTATCTTTCTTTTATCGTTGGTTGCCGTGTCTGTCTGTGTTTCGTCTTCCGTAGAGTATATTATGCTCTTCTTTTTCCTTCTAGTTTTCACGACCGTGAAGGAGGAAGTTTCTGAGTCTGACGAAACCAATGTACGTTCCTCTTTTCGTTTCCTTGAATTATTCACTTCGTAGTCCATGTCCGTGGCCTTGTCGTCGTTAGTTTTGGTGATTTTGGTTGGTTTTGATTTAAGAATGAGTGTTTCCATGCTGGTCCCACGAGAGTGAGGGAAAGGAGGTCGGTCCGAGTAGAGCCCTCTTTACCCGGATAAGCCTAGTTATTCTGGAGGGTCGGCAGGTGCCCCAGATTTGGCCGCTAGTGACCGAGATCTCCTCAGCCATGCATCCCATCGTCGCGCACCGTTACTTTGGATTTAAGGGAAGTTTAGAGAGCTTCCATCCTCGCGGCCCGGGCAATGAAGCCAAGGCCCCCGTCTTCTCCAGCCGCCTCGTACCACCACCGGAATCACCCAGTGACACCGTGAGTGGGTCGTTGAGGCGCATACCGGAGACCTTACGGTGTGGTTTGCTCAAGTAACTCGGGTTCGCAGGGCCCGTACTGAAACTGGCGGTTGCAAGCTTCAGCCCCTGAGTCTCTTCCTTTCCGGTCCCATAATCCATATTCCCTCGCTGCGTTCTGACCTCTGAGAACGTGTCGTGATGCCATCACGAAGTCCGTGACATCCCACGCAGTCCCTCGAAGTCCCGTTCCAATTCCATCCTCTTCGCCACCGAAGTGGCACCCTAATACCAGAAGCGACGTCTCACGCTGAGTCACCACTCGAGGCGACCCCGAAGCAAGACGCCACCCCTCACTTGGCTAGTCCAAGTGCCCGAAATACACACCTGGGGAAGGGTGTATCGGTACGGGAGGGCTCCGAGAAGAGTTTATACCAATCTGGGCGACCGGACAGCTGGCATCGTGGGTTCCACGCCACCACTGTCCGAAGACGTTAACGTTCTGAGTCAGCCTACCACGTCTGGACTTCGTAAAGCCAGCATAGGTGAACGCCCCTTCTTTCCCGGATGCTGATCCATTCAGCGAGCCCGCTCCACTGAATGGCCACCCGGGCTATAGACGCCGAAACGCCTAGTAACGCCTGTGCGCTTAGCCCTTAAGGGAAATTGTGCCCCTAGGGCGAAAGTCACAGAAACTGACTCACTGGAATTCAGGCCGCGGAAGCTAAAGCTTCCCACCATCCGATCGCCCAAACCGGTCCTCGCTCCACCGGAGCCTCGTTCGAGTTTTTAGCCAGACTGCCGTCGGTAAGCTCGACGGAATCATACGAAACCGGAGCACCGACGTTGAGTCTACCCAGAGAACCTGGGCCCTGCAAATGCGCCCCCATACGCATCGGCACGGAGTCCTATGGCACCTTCAGTGCGGTTAGTTGCCGTGACAGGCGGTCGGTCGTTTTCGGGATACCATAGGATAAATAGATGTGGCTTCTTAGTTCAGTTTGGGTGCGTTACCAGTATATGCTGCACCACAAACCTTAAGCCCCCGCACCACGTCAAGGTTGAAACCATAGCGGGGGAGTAGATAGGGACAGATGGGAATCTCGTTAATCCATTCATGCGCGT